CTTTCATTGCCTGATTTTTAGAGAGAATGAAGAGTACCTTGATTTAATCTAAGACCTTAAAGATCTAAAGGGACCTTAAAGCTCATCTCTTTCCAAACCCCTTGGACAGGGACACCTCCCAGCAGACCAGGTTGTCTCCAAACCCTGTCCAATCYGGCCTGGAATATTTCCAGTGGTAGGGTATGGAATCATAGAATCCCAAGGTGGTTTGGGTTGKATGGGATCATCCAYCCACCCTGCTGTGGACATCCACAGCTCCTGTGGGAAACAAAGTCTCAGGAATTCTAATTGTCAGGTTTAACAGAACGTTTTGTTGCAATCCCATCAATAAGTTGTATGAGTAACTCTTCGCAGCAAAGTRAGCTGAAAAAAATATTTCAGAAGTCTTTCAAAAATGTTTGAGGTGAAGCATATTGCTGCCTTGTAAAGAGCAGAATTATGCTGTACTGATCTTTGGAAAAAATAGTATGGTTTGATTGCTCAGTTATTCTTTCATATCAAGTGACTTTGGAACTGTGAAGGTTGTCAGTTTGGGGTTCCTGGTCTGATGTGCCGTCAGGGGAATTGTGCACAGATTCCAGAGAAAAGCTGGGGTTGGAAGAACCTCCTGCGACCCTCTTGTCCAGCCCTAGAGTCACCTAGAGCAGGTTGTTCAGGACTGTGTGTTCATTTGTGTTTTGTTTGTCTCCACACACGGAGACTCCACCACCTCTGTGGGCAMCCTGTCCGCAATTCAACTACAATTACAGTAAAAAGAAAAAAAAAAAAAAAAAGTGCTTTCTTCATTTAGAATTTCATGTGGTTTAATTTGTGGCCATTGCCCCTTGTCCTGTCACTGGGCACTRCTGAAGAGAAGGTGTCTTGTCTTTTCTGCATTCCCTCCGTTCAGTGTTTTGTACATCGTTAAGATATTTCCCTGCACCTTCTCCTGGCTGAACAGTACCAGCTTTCTCAGGAGAGAAAGATCTTTAGGAGAGACTCTCCCTTTGGGAGAGGTTCTTCAGTCCCTTAGTGACCTAAGACTGTGTCTTCTGGTGCTGGAGAACTCAGAGCTGACCCAACGCTTGGAATGGGGTCTCAGCAATGCTGAGAGGAAGGACGCCTTCCCTGGACCTGCTCCCAGTGCTCCTCCTCCAGGGTGCCAGTGGCTTTCTTTGCCACAAGGGTGCATTGCTGGCTTGTGCTCAGCTTGTCTGCCGGGACCTCTAGGTCCCTTTCTGCTGAGACACTGTGGCATTTGGGCTGAATTTGCTGGATTTTGTAGCCCCAGGTTTCTCACTGCTAGGATTAATAGAGGTAATGATGGTGTGTTTCAAAATTGCCAGTTTGATGCCATTTTATCGTCCAGATTTTTCAGGATGAAGTGCTTTGTGGAGTGATGATAAAATAGCAAAAGGTCTTTTTGAGAGAAGATACAATTATAGGTGCATAGAGAAAGGAGGGATATCAGGACAAGGGTGCTGGCACTGCCCAGGCTCCCCAGGGAATGGTCCCRGCCCCGAGSCTGCCAGAGCTCCRGGAGCRTTTGGACAGCGCTGCCAGGGATGGACAGGGTGGGATTGTTGGGGTGTCTGTGTAGGACCAGGAGTTGAACTGGATCATCCTGGTGGATCCCTTCCAGCTCAGTATATTCTCTGATTCTGTGCTCTAGTACAAAATTGAATTGTTATCAGCTGCTGACAAATTTAGTGTGAGAATTAGAAGAATTTGATGAATGTGGGACTGAACCTTTGAAAATGGGTTTGCAAGATCAGGAGTTTAAACTATGCCTGGACAGAATAACTCATGTTGTGCTGTCCCTTGATGGACACAATAAGAATGATATCCAAGTTAAAATTTGATGTTCCCTTCTTTGGCATTTACGAGAAGTGTTTAAAGGAGCCCAATACCCATTTTGTGTTATTAACAAATAAACTAAAGCTTTATCCTTCGATAGAAGGATTGATTTAGCTTTTATTCAAATGTTTCATTGCAGGCTTCGTGACTTTCTGGAGGCAGAGGAAAGTAGGCACTTTGCTGAGGTGGAGGCACTTGAAGAAGAAATGGCACAGGACAAAGAAGCAGAGAAAAAGGAACGAGTAAAATTACTGAGAGAGCAGTGGGAGCAAGCAAGACTAAAAGTGGTGGCTGAAAAACGTGAGCAACAGTTCAGGTATTGCCATAAAAATRCCTTAAAAAGAGAATTTGCTCTAARTAAATATATGGAGTCAATTTAGAAAGAAGGTGGCAATAATAAACTGAGGAAGGAAAGATGAATGTGATTGAAACAGTAAGACAGGAAAAGTCAAAGTAGTTAATTCTTGGGAGTGTAGCATGTCCTCCTTGCCCCATGTGAGTATCAGTGCACTTCCACCTGCCAAGTCTGTCCTTTTTGTAATCCTATTCCAGCTTTATACTATTGGAGTGAACAGGGTGCATGGAAGGTTAATTTGACCTAAATCATGCTTACTAAACTAATATTTCAAAGATCCTTGAAACAATAAGATTGTCCAAAAAGACAATGGTTTTTTTTATTGCATACTTTTCAAGAGTACCAGCTGCAGCTAAGGTTTTAATGCAGTCTGAAGTTCTGTGCCAAGTCTTCCTGACTGAAAGCAGTAACTTGCAGATATTTATTCGGATCTGAGGTCTTGGTGTGAAATCTGCCTTTTGTATCATTCTTGGAAATCTGGTTTTCTGAGGCAGGGGTGAGAGAAATAATGATGTTATTTAATTGGAATGATTTGAAGTGTCTTTCCCAGTCTCCCACGGTACTGTGAAATCTATAACACCTGCTTCTCAGTTTGCAGAGGCTGGGGATAAAAATCAACACTCACTCTCACTTGTGCATAGACTTTAATTAACTAATTCCACAGGTAAATGTTTTTTTTTTAAATGAGGGGTTTATTGACAAGTGTTAGAAATGCATACACTGCCTAACTTCATATGGTGGCTTGAAAAGGTGGCCCTTGCCTTTTGCAACTTCTAGTTTGTTCTCCATATGTCACACAAAGTGGTTGAAACTCACTTTTATAAAGGTTTAGAGGGGCTGCTGGTGGAGTGCCTATTATTTTGTACTTGTAACTTGTTTTGTTTTACACACCAAGGACATGTGATGTAGACACCTGGAGGTAGGTGGGTAAGTGTTAGTAATTTTATATTCACTGAGAATCCTCCTCTAGTTAAAACTTCAGTGAAGTCAAGACAGTTACAGGAACCTAAAGTCAGCTTCAAACAGGCTGATCCTGCCTTGTCAGTTGAACTGCACCCCAGCCACCACTGATTTTWATTAGGTTCTCATCGATCAGAATAGGAATTCAGTACACATGTAGATTCTTGTTTAGATGTCTAATTTTAGGTATTTTAATTGCAAAATGAATCGCAGTGCTGAACTGTATCATCTGGTGACACGTACTTGAACTTTCATGGTGTAGTTTCCTGTCTTACTGTCTCAGGTCTTTTATCTTCCCAGTTGATATAAGCCCTGTTGATATAACGTTGACTCAGTGTTACAGGATTATTTTATCCTCTTATTATCCTTTTACCTTTCCCACTCTGCACTGGGATTGAAGTAATATTCATACCACACAGCATCCCATTAAAAAGTGTTGCTGAAGCTTTATTGCTGGCACTCTGCTGGCTGCATGTTTCCAGAGGATTTAGAGGCACTGGAATCATCTCTCTTCACAGCTGTTATGAGTGGCAGTCTTGGGGTACTTTTGCAAATCAATCTTCTTCCTACAGGGCACAGAATCCTCTTTGACTGTCCTATAGTAATGGAAATACATTTCTTCGTTAGTTCCTCTCTGTCCCTTCCTAGTTTTAAAATGAAGTTCCTACTAAAAAACARAACTCTAATAAACACCAGCTGACATCAGTTCACCTTGTCTGTAACAGGTATCTATCTTCATGAATGTGCTTAGTTGTATTTTAAAGTCTCCTATTCAAGTGAAAAAGGAAGTCTCTGCTATGGGGATTGATTCTGGTTAGACTGATAACTTCTGATATCTCAATCTGCATGTATTTGTCTTGTTGAAGTAGCCTCAAGTCTGTTTTTCTCTGGCTGTTAGATGTAACTCTTCCTCCTAAACCATGCTGGTCCAGGCAGAGATCTGGAAGCAGGACTTGCTGATCAGGAGAGCAGCACTTAGTGAAAATCCACAAGCAGGAGTCTATAATTGTGTCACAGCCTGTCCTCTGGGGCAATGGTCTCCAATTCTCACACCTTTAGCTATAAAAACTTTTAAACAGCCACCCCAATATGTTTATTTATAAACTATATAAATACATAATAATATACTGTGCTGGTATATTGTGTATGTTATAAAATATATGCACAAATAGAAATTAAAAAGGGTGAGGTAAACATGAAATAAATGCTATTTTTTACTTTCTAATGTTATTTGTTAATGTACGAAACATACTCTGCTCTCACACTTCTCCCACTTTGGAGATAATTACTCTAGGGTACACCCAGGAGTCTTGGCAAGTCAATCCAGTAGCAGGTGGATATAGACATGATTTTCTGTTTCTCTTTGCCTGTGGATTTACAACTCTTTTAAATGCCTTTCTGGAACCTAATATGAACTTGTTTGTATTTCCTTAAACTCCAAGCAAGGCACTCCACTCAGGCAGGTACGGATTCCCAAACCTGAAGTATAGGAGTGCCTACACTGTCATACATTATTCCAGAGTACTAAAAGGCAGCATTTTTAGCAGCCCTGTGGACTGGTTGCTATAGCCTGAGGGTGCAGGTATAACAGCTTCTCAGTAGTGATGTTAAGCAAGAAGGAGTCCTTTGTCACAAGGTGACATCCTTTTGTCACAAGGTGACAGAGGGGACAAGACTTGGACCACTGGAGTCCTGCTGGAATTAATTTTCAGGGAGGGCTATCCCTTGTCTGAGAAGATAGTGCTAGCCTGAGGGCATGTTTGTCATTGGTAGCTTGAAAGAAACCTGCAATGTCTTAAAATTTGCATAAAACACTTATCATACCCTCTTTCTTGTGGTAACATCAGAAGCATCCATTTGGGGAATGTTGTTTTCCCAGTAACTTTGTGCTGCAGCCATAAAATGAATACATAACTGGGGAGATTCTGTCTTTGGGAAGTACCCACATCCAGGCACAGTTTTAATGTTAAGAAGCTTAGGATAGCAAAGTGAGGAAGAAAACCAGCCATCTGGGGGAGCAGATGTTTATAGGTTGGTGTAAAAGCTGCTTTGAGGGAATTATTTTGATGAAATCAAGCAATTACAGGGTTATTTTATATTAAAATTCTAACAATGCTGAACATAATTAACTTCTATTCCCCTCTGAGAATTTAATAAATATCACACTACTTTACAATCACAGAAAAGAACAACTAGTTCTTTATTCCTTCAATGCTGAGAAAACTTTGAGCCCATTGTGTTAAGGTAATAGTTATTGTTAATAGTGTACGATTTCAAATTTTAATAATGGCGTGTTTCCCGCACAACACTTGAGAAATATGTTTTTCATGAATACTTGTTAGTGCTGTGGTCTTTAATCACCGCTAACTCCCTCCCAGGAGATGAAAGAGAGATTCCTGTGGTAAAATGTAAGAAAACCCTCAATGACATAGTAATTTGTTGAAGTGCTGGAAGGCAGGGGCACTCCTTGGAATGTGCCATGGCTCATGAGCATGCACATCCCTGTGCTGCTCTCTGCTATTATTGTTGGGTCAAACAGTGGCCAGAAGGTTCCTATGCTGTACCAGAGGTATAAAGCAGCCATCCCTTTTCACCAGTCTTCACTGGCCTCAAATTATAGCATCTTATCATGGAATGGTTTGGGTTGAAAGGAGCCTTAAAAGTCATCTTTATCATGGTCAGGGACACCTTCCACTGTCCCAGGSTGCTCCCAGCCYCAATGTCCAGCCTGGCCTTGGACRYTGCCAGGGATCCAGGGGCAGCCACAGCTGCTCTGGGCRCCCTGTGCCAGGGCCTCCCCACCCTCCCAGCCAGCAATTCYTTCCCAATATCCCATCCATCCCTGCCCTCTGGCACTGCCAAGCCATTCCCTGTGTCCTGTCCCTGCAGCCCTTGTCCCCAGTCCCTGTGCAGCTCTCCTGGAGCCCCTTTAGGCCCCAAAAGGGGCTCTGAGCTCTCCCTGGAGCCTTCTCTTGTCCAGGTAAGTACACCCAGCCAAAATGAAATAACTATCCTGGTGTGGACATTGATAAAAGCATTGAGGTAGTTGCCTGATGAATATTTAATATTTTTACTACACAGGATAGTCAGCTAAAGCTTGTATAATGTCATAGTATTTCACATTGTGCAGGTAACTACTGCTGCCATGAAGTGGTTCATGATTCAGTCTATGATATCTTAYGATGTCTGCTGTGAGTTCCTAAATAGCTTTGTGTTAATAGAAGAAGAGGTTTCATTCAGCATGAAATGGTGAGAAACCCTTTCACTTCACAGCATTCACATGTGTCTGTCACACATTCTCAGAGCTTATAGATCCTTCACACTTGCAGGTCTTCCCCTTTGCCAGTTTCACATTCTGACTTTATGAAAATCTATATCCTGGTTATAGAACAGAATTAAAATGCCTGTAAATTGTTCAAATTAAATAATGTTTGATGGCATGTGTTGATCTCAGTAGTGCTTTGTTTGCATAAATAAAATCAGAATCTGCAATTAGTTCAGTGTTATTCAACTGAAGATAAAGTACCTCTTTATAGGCAATGCAGTTGCAGAGAGTAAATGAAAATTGAAAGCTGCTGCACTTGTTTGACTTTCTACCTTCTCTGGGCTTTTATTGCAACTTGTCTGAATTATCCCACAGAACTTCACTTAAAAAATTAATAAATTTCTAGTTGTTCCTGCTCAACCGTGTAACCCACTTTTCCATGCTCACAGTATTTTCTGAATATGAATAAGCTTTCAGGTATAAACTTACTCCAAGTCTTCATTCCAATAGACACAGCCTGCATGTTTGAATAAGTGTAGTATGCATGCGTTTCCTATGTTAAAAAAGTTACATACACACATGCACTCCCCCAGCAYGTGTTCCAGCTACATGTACAATACACAGTGTGTATATAATGTACACATATATTATGTGTATATATTGCATGTGCATTTAGACTCACAGAGTGTCCTGAGCTGGGAGGGACCCACCAGGATGACCCAGTCCAACCCCTGGCCCTGCACAGCCACCCCAACAATCCCACCCTGTGCCTGTTTTCCCAACGCTCCTGGAGCTCTGGCAGCCTCGTGGCCGTGCCCGTTCCCTGGGGAGCCTGGGCAGTGCCAGCACCCTCTGGGGACACAAGAACCTTTCCCTGCTCTCCAGCCTGAGCCTGCCCTCGTCCAGCTCCAGCTGTTCCCTGGGTCCTGTCCCTGTCACAGAGAGCAGAGATCGCTGCCACCTCTTCACTTCCCCTCATGAGGAAATTGATTTAGTTTTCTTTTTTTTTTTTTTACAAATTCAAATTCTTCAACTCATTAATGTCAAAATCTCCATCTCTGTGGTTCCTTAGGCCATACAAGGAATCAGTGCCAGGGGTATAACTTTGCATCCTGAGTTGCTGTCTTCTGAGCAGTGGTGAACTGGGAGCTCCATTCACCACACACCCCCACATCTGCTTATTGATTTGAGACTTTTTAAAAAAAAACTTTTATGTTGCCTTCCAGAGACCGATGTGAGGAGTATCGCGCACACTGTAAAAAAAGGAGTGAGAAGGAACTGGGTGACTGCCAACTGGCCCAGCAGACTCTGAAGCAGATACAGAAAAAGGAAGAGAAGATGCAGGAGCAGAAGTTGGAAGAGATGTGTGAGAAGGAACTGTCGGCTAAGGATGAGAAAGAGGAGCTGAAGGCGGAGGAAGAGGCAGCGCGGATCCAGGAAATGATGGATGTGCGTGAGGCCCAGGTGGCAGTGCACGAAGCTCGCAGAGAGGAGGCGAAGCAGCAGATCAAAAAGGAGGCTGAACGGCTGGTAATTTCYATAGTATTCTGCATTCAGGCTTGTGCAGAAGGCACTTCTAATGATAGGCTTACTAGAYATTTAGACTAATCCATACCTTATTTGTATCTTCACTGATTCCATTAGTATCTGAGCCTGTCCTGTTACGCTAAACCTCTTTTCCAGAGCTGTGGCAAAGGCATTCCTGTTTACAGAGGAAATACATCTTTGGAAAGTCGGCACTCTAAAGGATTTTGTCTTCAAAGGAAGACAAAAAGGATTTCGGCATTCAAAGTTGCTTAGAGCCGTTGTGGGAAATGGAAACATTTTAAAGCTTTTGCCAGACATCTTTGTAGTTTTCTGATTTCCAGTTTCCTACAGGATAGCTTGTTTCCCCAGCTAAAAAATTAATATTTATATATATATATATATATATATATATATTTAACAAATTAGCAAGCAGCACCTAAGCTCTCATGTATTAGACCTGGCTGATGAGTGTAACATCATCAGAAGCATTTGGCTACCTTGGCCCACCTGTTTGGCTACTACCCTTTCTTTTTCACCATCTCTTTTTGTCTCTATTGCTGTACTGTTGCTGGCTTTAGTGGGGCTTGCTAATTCAGTATTCTGTGTTGACTYTGAATTGTGGGAGACCATTTAGCTCAGCCTCAGTCTTTATTTTGCAGCTATTTACATGTAGAGGCTGAATGATCATTCAGGATACTCTATTAGACACTGGAAGCTGATGCTGGCATCATATATACTTTTACTTCCCTACTTTATAAAGATGAAGACAATCGTGGATCTAAATCTCTGAAAATGCTGGCTGTGAAACCGTGGAGTCCTTACTCCAAGCTAGTCCAAGATGCTTTGCTTATTTAAAACATGAGAATAGAGTTATTTTCTTGTAACACAACTTCTAAGGCACTGGCAAACCTCCCAGGAAAAGAATGCTGCTCCTTAACTGGCCTTTTCAGAAAAACACTATTAGAATAGAAGAGTCTGTAGCTTCCCCTGGAGACAGCTGCCTTGGGCTCTGTCAAGGAGATACATGGTGAAGTGGTTTAGTGTCTGAAAAAAAAGYTTTCTTCGAAGGAGAGTTTCTGTATGGAAAATAGGATGTAATCCTTTGTCAGCAGATGAGGGATGTGACAGATGGCCCCATTACAAGTTTTTCATTGCAGACTGGTAGCCCCTTATGATCAGGAGTTTCATCTGGGTGAATGGGCAGCTGAGTGTCCCTGTGCATAAAGGCTTCTCCTGTTTGTTGCAATGAAAATAGAATATTTAGTGAAGGAAAACTTGTACCTTTGGCATGATAGACCATATCTGTGCACCAGGATATCTCAGAAATGGATGGTATAGCAGACACAGCAATTTTTGCATTAGCTACATTACCTAAATTAGCCTTCYTCTTTTGTCTTATTTTTCCCCTAAGGAAATGTGAGTTTTTGTGAAAGTGATTGACTTCATGTTATCCTGGTTGTAGTTTTATGAGCTTCTGCCATAGCACTTTGGTTCGTATATTTGCGACGTTGTATTTCCCCAGTGAATAAACTTTCATGGATCACATTCTTGGCTACTCTCATACAGCTTCACTGATGTCAGAATCCACCCAAAGACACGAGCCAACTTGCTCAGCAGACTGCTAACTATTTCTGCTTTCTTTTTACCTTTTACTGTTCAAAGATTTTCAGATTTCTAATTCTATTCTTCAAATTATGTATATAGAGAGATTTTCAAAGCTGTTTACCAGCTTCTGAAAGCAAATTTGACAGTTCAGGCAGATACAAAGTCAGCTTTGGCTCTGCAATACTGCAAGAGTCCGTGGATGCTTTGTGTCCAGCATAAAAAGKGATGTTCCTTAGGGAGTGCAGCTTCTGCTTCCATGTTGGGAAGGTCAGACATGCTGTTTATGGCAAACCTGCTGACGCATTTYAGAAGGCTCATTCACTTTACGAAAGAGATATTTAACTAAAAAGCAGGTTAACAAAAAACTGCCTTTGAGACAGCTGAAGCATGATTTCTGAGATAATATAATTGCTAATGATTAGCATTATACTGTCACAACACAGTCACATACTGTGTTATGACTATGTTTCAGAGCAGTCGTGCTTGTACACTTACTCAATTGCAAGATGTCCARGAATATGCTTGTAAATATTACTTAATGATRGTACTTTTGAATTTTTTTGGGGGGMTAAAWAATCTTGAATATACACATACCTATTTGAACTCAAACATGTATTTCCAATTTGCCATTGTTTCTTTCTTAAGAACTTAGTCTTACTATACACTTTTCCAATATAAAGTGGAATATAAAGTTCTTTCCAATATGAAATTGAATGATTTGAAGCCGTGGAAATTCAGTAACTGTCCATGAGAATACAAAAATTACTGACTTGATGCAACCTTGTGTTCAGTGCAGATACAGTGCTCTGAACAACCAACACAGGACAGAAAATATCTACAGAAACAGCAGGAACATKTGGCTCTGTTATTTGTTACTGCTTATGGCTGTGTGTGAACACTTGGGTATAGATCACACGGGCTGCAATGATACTGATTTCCCTAAAGAGATGWCTGTCTATCTGCCTGAAACATTTGGAAAGTATTAGGCACAATACAGTTTTTGTATTGAAGTGCATGTGGTAATTACACATAAAAATCTCAAATTCTGATGAATGATAGGGTAAAATATTCAGGCTTTAACACGTCTAGTGGAAGACTATAATTCTGTGTCGTCCGCAAGGCTTTGCTTTTCAAGGCTTTAAATTAAACTAACTCTAGCCAGCACTTAGTTTGAAGTTATGCAGTGATTTTATAARCTGGCTACTTTTATCCTTGTAGGCAGAAGAGATGCACAAACTTAGGGAAGAAGAGGAAGAGCTTGAAAGGAAGAAGCGGCATCAAAAGAAGGAAYGCAGGGAGATACTGCTCAAAGCAGTACAGGACAAGAAAAAACGTTCTGATGCAGAAAAACAAGCTCAACTTGCTATGGAAAAGATGATCTTGGAAAGAAATTCTCAGAACCTCAGCAAGGAAAATAAGGAGAAAACAAAAAACCGAGTAAGATGTTTCCTTGTGAAATTGTAGGGCAATACCTCATCTGGACTAGTTCTGTGGCCCTGTGAACTGCAGAGTATAACTGAGGGCAGAACACAATTGCTTTTCTCTGGATGAGATAATTTTTTTTGTTGAACAGCCTGTTRCCTCTGCTCCTGTCAGTTCTCTGCATCTCTGCAGAAGCCCATTAGCTGTTAAAATCACAGCACTTTAAAGCTTGCTTTGCAATCAGCAAGGCTACCAGCAGGGATAAATGATGTGGGGGCTGTCAGGAAATACTGGAAATTTGTCCCTCCATATTGGTTTTATTGTGTATAAATCACCTGAGCTTTTTCATCCTTACACTGCCTAGACATAATGGAGGCTGGAAAGCTATTTGTTGTTTCATGGACCTAATTTACTAAGTATTTGTAACTGCAGACAAAAGAAAATAGTTAACTTACTGTAATTAATTAATACTAAAAACCTGTTTTAAATATGAAATAATGATAATATAAATAGATGCAAACTCTCATATTTCTTGGAAATGCCATCAATGGCTGTGTCTGTCATTTCTTGAAGTTAAAACAAGTAGATTGTCCAACTTTAGCGTGCAAGTGAGTCTCCGGGTCTTTAAGGCAAAGCAGATAGCTGCATCCATTGTTCTGCTCGAGGTATTTAGAAGCTCATGTTGGTCAGGCAAGTTCTATCAACTCAATGTTAAACCTTGCCGCAGAATTACAGGAGGTGATATTTATTGTATTTTTTGGATCCCAAAGCTTCTAATGCAGGTGATGGTGGATAGTCTGGTCAGCTGGGGAAAATCTGTAAAATGTGTGTGCTGTAAAAATCAGTAAATATGTGTGTGCTGAGCTGCTACAGGGAAAGGGATCACTGTATTTGCTCTGTTTATATGCTGYTGTCTGGCCAGGTAGGGGATTCTGCCCAGCTCTTCCCTATGGCAGAGCTTGGAATTGAGCTCTGGTCTCCCAGCTCCCACACTGSCTGTGAACCACCACTTCTCTTCAGGTTTTGAATGGCTTTTTTGAACTAATTTATTCAGATCCACAAATGTCTGTGTGTTTGCAGCAAGCAYTGTTAAGGGAGCAACTTGCTTACCTGGGACATGTGGCTGAACAGCTGAGGAAGGAAAAAGAGCAAGAAAGAGAAGAGGAGAATGTCCTCAAGGAAGAGAGGGATCGGCTGTGGGCTGAGAAGATTGAGAAAATGAAACTGGACAGGGAGGCTCAATTTCAGCTGCTGAGAGAAACTATGCAYGCTAGACAATTGCAGATGGAGGAGAAGTGTAAGTGGTGGGCAGAGGCAGCACAACACCCTGCTGCTGGGAACAGCATCTAGCCCAGCATGCATGGGCTGTGTGATAGAGTGGACAACAATGTGACCCTCCCTGAACCTGTTTCCCAAAATTCACCCCTACAGGCATTCCTTACACTCATTTCCTATTGCTATCACCAGAGCAAAGCCTACTAAAGTAAGTATTGCATGAGCAAATAGTCGTTATTATTAATGATACTATAATGATGTTCTGAACGTGAAAACTTTCCAGTTCTGAGTGCATGATACACAAATAAGCTGAGAATACACTTGCTGTTGTTTGTGTGGCTATTCAGAAGCAACAAAACTCAGCCTTGCTAGCCTGAATGCAGTCTCACTGTCCCTTCAAGCTCAGCAGAGCTGTTACCTTTAAAAAATATTTTTGGTTTTGTTTTTCAGTGCGCAAAAAAGCAGAGAGGCAAGTAGAAATTGCTGAAGAGAAGAAGGCAGTGGCTGAAGCAGTTAGAGAATACCAACGTGAAGAAGAAGAAAAACGTATAAGGTATTTTTCTTTCATGTCATCGGTTCGTTTCATTGCAGATCAATCTTTTAAACTTGTGAGCAAGATGTTCTCCTTTTTTGATAACTCTAGAGGCACTGGGTGGACTTCCTTCTGTTCAGAGGCTTTCCCAGCATGCAGTTTATCAATTCCAAACTGCTCGATAGCAGACCTGTAATCCTGCAGTTGTTACTAGGTCATTAACTCTGACCTCAGGAAATAGTGGTACATATCCTTGTTTTGGTCTTTTTGGATGATCATGTGACTTACATCAATCATATTTATTAAACACATCCCCTCATACTCCAAGCTGTTGTTATGAGTAGCAGAGGTTTGGGGAGGAGGGTTAATGAAAGGTTTGTGCCTGACCCAGGAGAACTAGTGYGTCCAGGCGCATTGCTAAACTCCACCCACAGACATCCCTTGAACAATCCTGTAGTCAGCCACCAAAACACGGGGCTGCAGCACATAACCCGGCTGCACGGGGCTCTCCGTGCCTTCCAGTGCCTCTGGATGAGCAGATCCTTACACGCAGTACAGGAATGTTCCTCTGGGTGTCATGCAAAGCCTTGGGCAAAGGGCCTTATCTCACTTACTCCCCTTCTGTACTCCTGCCCTTTCTCCACTCTTGTCCRTGGGATACAAGTATCTCCCTCCCGGCTGCTATCTGTTGTGTTATCTGAGGGCTTTATTGGGAACAATCTCCTGGCTCTGGCAGAAATGTCACCCTTGTGAAGGAAACGCACTGGGCTCCAGCTGGGATATGCTCCACTTAGCAGAGATGGCACTCAGCAGTGTCAGGAAGGGTTTGTACCTCAGCTCTGTTGAGGTAGTGCACAAGTCCTGATATGCTGTTGGCATTTAAGTGTCTGAGTGACTTCTGCTTCAGAACGGCCTGAACACGTAAGACTTCCTCTGCTTCTCCAGAGGGTAGTGAAAGCAGTACATGAATCCTGAAGTGAAAAGGAAGATTGATTTCTTCTGACAACCACCTCCAGGAATATCAGCACAGCAGGGACTTGCTCTTCTCGGAAGGAGGGTGAGGATGGGTGTCAGCATCCTGAGGATGCTGTGAGCCTGAGCCAGGGACAGACTGAGACCCAGCACCCTCATCCTCTGTCCTCTCAYCACTGTTGTGAGGAGCAGGGAAGGCATGCTGATTACAAGGATTTGGTTTTTCTCTCTTTCTGCTCAAGCACCAGTTTTACAGTCTACTTGATAGCATACAACAGAATGCAGTTAATTCTCTGAAGAACATAAGGCTAGCCCATAGCATTTGGTTAATGGTGGCGGWTACTCTTAAGGCCTAAAAGGAGCTTTGAGTTTCTTAGTCTAAATTCTTTAGTCTTAGGTTGAATGCTGACAGATTACATAATAATAAAGTTTATTCTCTTTACCCACACTACTTAAATAACCTATTCACCTGGCATTTCCAGAAAAATACAGAAGGCCAAAGAATACCGAGACCAGCTCACATCTCAAATTGCCTGTCAACAAYTGCTCCACAAAGCTGAGGAAGAGGARAGRAAGAAAGAACATGAATYAAATATGGAAGCAGAGAGGGAGTACCAAAAAAGGGTAGAGTTCCTTCTGTCAATGCCCAAYGAGCCCACAGTAAAACCCCCCACAACAAAGAAAGCACTAATGCCTGACTTACACAAATCTCACTTACTATGATACTTTAGCTCACTCAAAAACATTTAGCCTTTAAGCCTTCAAAAACATTTTCTTAGGATGCTTACACCTTATTTGAGTTGGAAGAACTCTCTCAAACATCTCAAACTCAAAACATTTAATTGGAAATTACAAGAAACATAGTATTTTAAAGTTTATTTTTCCCCCATGGATTTTTCTTTACAAACCTGATCCAATCCAAATTCTTGACATCTTAATTCAAGAATACTGTCTGACCTCTGCAGTATAATAGTATATTATTATGACATGAATACTGCACAGGCATTCTTAAAAATCTACACCATGGAAATTTGTAGAAAATTTTCAGCAAACCATTAAAATGCCTTTCAAACTAAAAATATTTGGAAAATCTGTTTCTTTATATTTAGATAAAAATGATAAAATTCTGTATTTTACTGTGAGATGGGACATAAAAAAGCTGATATTCTTTTGCATAGGTTTTGATAGCTGTTAAATGGTATGTGGAATACTGGAGTCCCAAATCTGSTTGGGCAGGATAAAGTGTGCAAGGCTCAAGCTGGAGCTGTCTTGTAAAAAGGTTTATTCTCCACAATTTTCATGGTAACTCTGCCTCTCTGGGCTTCCTTGGATTGTTACCAACACCACACTCTGAACACATGGAATGGGGGGCCAGAGCACCACCACCATTTTAAAACAGAGCAACACAAAATGTGGCTGGATGTCCCCAGGGAGGGTTTTGGCAGTGGGCAGCAGTGACACCTTGCTGGCCTCTCTGCTCCAATGCCAGTGGCCAGTCTGCCCTTTGTGCAGGAGGAGCAGTGGATGACACAAGGAGCACGGGTGTGATCAGTGCTGCCCTTGCCCAGTTCCTTGCTATGCATTTTGTTTGTTTTTCCTCTGTGTTTTTCAGAGGAGGGAAGTGAAGAATCTGTGTAAAACCTCATATCCTTCCTTGCTCATAGACTTCATGGCATTTGGAAATGTTTTATATTCTTTCTTTCATTTTTCCTTTTGAATCTTTGCTGCTGCTTATCTGCAGCTGTTTCTGAAGCTTTTCAGCTTCTCCTATCTTTCCTCCRGCCCCTACTTTTCCACCCTTTTCTTCTCAAACTTCCACCACTTCCTCTACCATTTTTGTCCTCCCTACCTTCCTTTTWAGCATTAGCTCCCTGGTGGCAAACCAGGCTGTGCTTTTCTTGTGTGAGAACATGAATGGATGCACAGAGGTGCTGATGAATGGCTGGGATCAGAGCTCAGGAGACCCAGATCCCAGAAATCATGGAACAAATTCAGGAAAAGTTGTCTCATCTTGGTTTAAAGCAGACACCAGGCTGACACTTCTTYCCCTGTGAAGAAAAAGGCCAGGTGGTGACATATTAATCTGAAATAGTACTGGTGGTCTTTGAGCAACCCAAGCTAATTCTGGGTGTAAATGGTGGAAGAACCTGGCCCTGCTGAGGGGAAAACCAGTGTGGTGGGATTTTATCGTTGCTTACAGATGAAATTTCTGAGTCAGCAGATGSAAGAGGGACAAATCCACTGGAACTTGTTACCATCTTGACAGGGGACCAGACAGACCAGAGCAGTGCCTCTCATGGCTTGTTCCTTGGATCCAAAAAGGGCCTGTCCTACAGATACTGAGGAACGTGAAACATCAGGCTGGGAGAGATAGGTAGTCAGGATGTCAAGCCCTCGTGGTGCTTTTCAGCAGCCATCTCCAAAGCTACACAGAGGACAATCAGAGCTGCTCCTCCAGCTTTGCAGGTGGAAAAGGCCATCCCARATAAAGGAAATAGTTTCATCAGTCCAGAGAGCTGAGGTAGTCATAGGTCTGTGCTCTCACCACTGAGTCAAATTGGCAGAATGATTAAGAGATTAATTTCCTGGTCTGCTGCAGACTCCTGGAGTAGCCTGTGCAAGCAATGTAGATTTTTCTTTACTATTGTGACCTCTCTTTGAAAAATGAAGATAATAGCACATTCAGAATTCTAGGATTAATTAAAGCTTGTTATTAAAGGCTGTGACATTTGTTGGGTACACCCGATATGAAAGATTAAAAAAATACCACATTGGTGAGCTTTGYGAAGTCGAGTCATCCAGAACCATAATAAATCTCCTTTTTTAATAAAATAATAACTCGGAAGAGGTGGTCAGAGCTATCAAACATTTATAGAGTGTCTGAGCTCCTGCTCCTGGAGGCAAATTTCCTCTGCAATGAACATGAGGTCTGCACAAGATGAAAAGATCAGACTGGAAGAAGTTTGCCTTCAGCAAGAATGAATTCCCATGGGATAACGGGCAACTAAACTCTTCTGAGAGAAAACTGTTGGCTGATGAACACGTTGTTGGGGCTGAACCCTTTGCTGCCAAGTGCTTTGTAGGATTCAGGTTGGTCCAGAAGAACTGGTGAGGCTGGGTGGGTCAGAACCTCCTGGAGAGGCACCTTCATTGCTGCCCCTCACAGTCAGGTGAGCGATGCAGTGAGAATGATTTTCTCTGTCAAGACTGAATGGTTTCCTTAATCCTGTTGATTCCCATTTTCTTCCAGCTCTTTGGATGTCCTTGCAGTAAATCGGGCAAATAGAGTACCAAGCAGAATGTGCTTCAGAGCATGGTTGTGTCTGTCTGCCTCGGGCCAGCGCTCATGTTATGCTTGTGACAGATCAGCAGGCAGTAACGTGCCAAACGGATCTGGAGCTGTGGCTTGCAGGTGCTGGGAACCTCAGGAGCGTTATCTACTGCTGCTGAGTGTGGCATTTCCTGCCCCGGTGAGCAATCCTTCAGGCAAACCATCCATTAAACCCGGAGCGCAGAGACACCGCTGGTGAGGAAAGCAGCCTGGCCTACCCAGGGCTCTGAGCCACTCAGAGACAGAAACACTGGCATTTAAAAACCTGGCAGTTACAGCCTCCTCTCTTAGACAYGTACTAGAGCTTTGCACAATATTCTTCCCTGTACTTTTTAATTAAATGTGTCRCGGGGACAGAGGAAGAGCAGAGGTCTGGAGTGTGTGGGTGACTTGCATGTGGCAGGGCTGGGACTGCCAGTCCCTGATCACAGCATCCCAGACTCACTCCAGGGTTTGAATCCTCAGCATCTCTCAAGGCTTTTAGACTTTTCTGCATGCACCCATCTGCTCACAAGGGCTTTTACACTGACCCCAGGGCTWCCTGTGCTGATGTTTTTGGCTGCTCACAAGGTGATGACCTCTGAAGAGGTTCCTGGTGCCCTGGGCCATGGTGTTAGCTTGATTCCTGCTCTCTGGGGCTGGGCTGCAGGGCTTTGGACACAATCAGTTCTATTTGCAGGAATGTTAATTATTCATTGTCTTAACACCTGGAATAATTTATCATTACTTTAACCTGAGTAGGAACACTTGCTGCAGAAACAGCCAGTACCACCATGCCCAGGGTATGGTGACGCTGCWAGACACAAAGATTGTGCTCTGATGTGGTGACTTCTGTGTGGCCCAGGAGGAGCGAAATTCCAGATTCAGRGTCTTTGGGACATCTTTGCATGCAAAAGTTCAGGACTTGGGCTTGTAGAAGCAACAGTCAGCTCTGTTCTGATGACATTTAGAGCTGTCAGAATTGATTCTACTCACTGGGCTGTGCCATCCCCTGTCCATCTACCCATCCATCTGTTCCTGGGGCCTYCATGTGTCCTTACAACACAGAGACAAGGCCAGGACCTTAAAATAAAGCCCAGCCCATCCTGTACATGCAAAGAATCCATTGGCTCTGCTTGGAGGAGAGAGAACCCTGGTATTTAGTTCATTTTTACTCAAGGTGCCTTCCACCTGAATGCAAGAGGGGATACCATAAACTGCTGTTAAAGAGCCTGTGTTTGTTAAATTTGATCAACACAAGTTTTGATTCCCAAATGGAAAGAMGCTTCTTTCTCCTGGAGGAGACAATTTCCAGCAGCTCAGCAGTTAGGATGTACTTCAGGGACTCTGTATGTATTTTGGTGTTTTTAGTTTCTGAGCTTAATTAAAGTTTTAGGTTAATGGAGAATCACATGTGACACCAGCTGGTATTTCATGGGAATGGCTGTTCTTCGCCTCTGGGCTATCACTGCTACCCCRGCTTCGCTGAAAGCTTTGCTTCTAATTGCACCAGTGCTCCTCCTTTTGTTTCTGCAGTTGATTTAATGAAATGAGAGGAGCAAGTTTTGTTTGCCTGGTGAAGCTCTCTTGGAGGCTTTGCAGAGATTATGCTGTCAAATTTTCCCAGGGTAATTTCTAGACATGGTGCAGCTTTTCTCTCCCCTTCTCTCCCATTTCCCAGGCTGCCCCCAGAGACACCTGCAATTTTTTTTTTTTATTCATCAAGGATATCAGAGCTGGAAAASAGAGGTATTTGCAATGCTGGCTGTCCTTCCACCAAATCAGCACKGCTCCCTGCCAGGCTCTGGGGTGGAAAAGGGAAAATAGGACAAAGGGGAGAGTTTTATCCCCCAGGGGACAAGAAGCAGAGTGTGAGATGCCACCAGTGATCACTTTGAGGAGTGGCTGTGGGTGCCCTGTGAGTGGCACAGCCTGAAACYACGGGAGGAGGGATCCCAGTGACGGAGTAAACAACTGTGACAGGGAACAGGATCCGCTGAGTGTGGTTTCTGCCTGCTTAGTTAGAATGCAAAATACCTTGAATGATAAAGAATAGCAGTAGTGCTTAATTAGGAATACTTTGCATTTCATTCTCCTTCTCAGGCTCTAAAAGTGCCGTATAAGCATGAATTGCAGAACAGGGTGCTCCCGTGGGATGGAGGGAAGCAGCACTGCCACAGATTGACAGGCTGGGATCAATTTTTGGCTGTTGCTGTACAAGTTGCAATTCCTGCCCTCRGTGTAGGAGTGACACACAAGCAGTGCCCAGGGGCAGTGCTGCTGGTGGGACCCCAAACCCACCTGCAGGCAGGAGGAGACAGAGAAAAACTGTCCCTGGCACATTCCTTGAGTGGGTTTCCGGTGGGTTCATGAGGGTGATGCTCTTGTCCTGGGGAACAGGTGTGCCCTGGCCAAGGATACCCCAGTAATGCTGTTCCTCACACCCCAAACAAAGTGTGGGTGATCCCCAGAGTGGGGGATGGAAGACTCGCAAACCACTGAGGGGCACCTGCTTGGGGCTTAATTACTCTTTTTCTGTGATAAAGGAAGATAGCTAGAAGATGGAAAAAGCCCCAAACCCAACCCCAACCTATGCTGCGGGGAGCACCCTGCCTGGGAGGTGCCGGAGCCAGGAGGGATGCTGACGTCCGCCGGGGGAGCGGCCAGGAATACAAAATATTTAATAAAAAGAGCCTTTTAAAAAAAAAAATAAAAGCCGGGCGGAAGAGAACCGGAGAGAGCCGAGGCAAGCCGCCC